CATATTTCTGCCCAGAAGAAAAAAGCTAGAATGCATGCCTAATTTTCTAAGTGTTCTGCTTTTATTCTTTGTAGTAATAAATATTAAATTAAATCAAAATGAAATGTTCCAGAAGTAGTACACACCAGTCATTTTGCCTGTTTCTTCTATAAAACAAGCCTACTCAAAGCAATCACTCTTTTCAAAGTACATGGTACATGGAAGTGTAGAACTTTTCTAACTTGTAAGAATTCATGATGCGACCTCAGGATTTACTATGGAATTTATGTTGGTGAGGAAACAAAGCAAGTAGTTTTACCGGCTTCAAATCCTTCAGGCAGAGATGACAATTAGCATAAACAGTATTTGCCCTTGCAAGTTATAGACAACACAAAGTTTCTTCATTAGCTGCATTTAGGACAATACTGGGAGCTTGATCTGTGCCTGGTCAAAAGAGCTGTTCTGTCTGCTACAAGTCTAAGTTGCAGCTCTCAGACAGGTTCCTCAAGTATCCCAAGTGGGAGAATACTTACACTTTCCTTCGAGTAAAGCTGTCCATGGTACCAAACTAGCCTTCATCCATATATTGTGCCATAGATCAAGACAGGGTAGCCGTTCTCTTGCTATAAATGAGAAACTGGCACTGATTAAAACAGCAATTCCATAAGGAAGAGGTTTCTAAAGAACCTTTAGAGCAGTGGCTGGGGAATTCTGGGAGTTGAAGTCCACACATCTTCAAGGAGCCAAGGTTGAGAAACAGTACTTTAGAGTACCAGATTCTTCATGGACAGAGGTATCCAAGATAGCATCTATCAAAGTCAGATATAATTCCATCACATAAAGTGATGTTCTGCATGTAATGAAGGCTTACCAGCCAAGGGACTTTTATCTGCCACACTATACTCTGAAGGAGGCAATTCAGTCAGTTTCAATTATAGCTCCTGAAACACAATTCACATGTTACTTTCCCCTCCATCAGATTTGCAAAATGGGTCACTCAAGGACTGCCATTTGCCAATTCCCACGCTAAACTATTGTTTAGAAAAGAGATTATTCCTAAATTGCCCTTTCCTAGCCTGATGCTCTCCTGATACATGGGTCTGCCATCACTCCAGCCAGCATGGAGGGGTCTGTACTTGGCATCTGCACACTCCATCCCCAATCCTTGCCCAAATCCCCAGCCCAGAGATTGCAGAAACACATGTGTAATGTAACAATGTCAAAATATTTAATACGTGTTGCACACGCAGTTACATTTCATACAAAACACAACCAGAGAAAGAGCATACTGTACAAAACATCCATTAAGACCCACCTTCCTTCAAGGGCCTTTATATAACAAAGACCAGGAGCAATAAAAGCCCCAGGGAACTCCAAACCATAGATTTGTTAACACACCCCAGCAGCACCATCATCAATGCACCCTAGCAGGGTAAGAAAGCCCTCCTTCCTTTGGTCCCAAATGTCATCTGAGACTTATAGCAAACTGCAGTGGTTGCTTAGGGAACACGCTCTGCATGGTAGGATAACAAGGGGTCTGTTCTAACCTTCCCAAAAGCTTGAAGGTGGGGGGAGAGAGAAAGGGGGAAGGGAAATTCGGAGCAGGTGGAAACAAGCCGAAATGCTTTCATGCAGAATGAGACACTGCCGCCAAGGGCACTCAGGAGAGAAGCGTGAAGGGGGCTGCTCTGATGGAGTCCCACCACCACAGCCCCCGCCTCTCCTTAAGGAGGGGCAGCGCCTGGAGCGACGCGCAAGCCGGAGCCCTCGGAGCCCGCAAACCAATTCCCTCCAGCTTCTGAATCGATGCGGTCCCAAATTCTGCCCCCGGGATCAGCTGGGGAGGATGAAGAAGTTCAGAAGGCCACGATAGCCGTGCTCCAGGGGTTGAGGTTCCGCAGCACCGACTCCTCGCAACAGATTTGCCCGGGCTCTGCCTCAGCCGCTCCTGCCGCCTCCTCCTCCTCTTCCTCCTCCTCTTGCCGCCTTCCCCGCTGGCTGCTGCCTTCCCTCTCGCCCCCGCAGGACTTTTTGCTGAGTAGTCCAGAGAAACTGGAGCCGAAGATGCTGATGAGACTGGCCACATTGCCCGTCTCCATGTCGTCCTCTTCCTCCCTGCGGACCTTCTTCAGCGGCGAGCTCCCCGGAGACGGTTCCTCGGTCCCGCCGTCGGGCTTCACAGCAGCGTTCCGCTTTCTGGAGCAGTAGAGCGCAGGAGGAGCCTCCGCCGGCCGTTTGCCAGCTTCGCTCACGAAAGAGGAGCAGCAGCAGCAGCAGCCGCAGCAGCGTGGCAACCGCGGAACTTCCCAGTCCGGCGGCGGGAGCTTCCGGGACAACGGCGAAGCCCGGGGATCAGGCAACAACGCCGCCCGCGCTGGCGGCAGAAAGGCGCGAGGGGAAGAGAAGAAGGGCAGCGGCGGGCCCTTCCCCCCCCCCTCCCCCCCTCCCCCGGGGTGTGTATCGCCCGGCGCCGCCCGCGGCGGCGGGCGGGCGCAGAGGGGCGGCGGGGGGG